CCTTGGCAGTCTCAGAGCAAGACAGACAGACAGACATTACGAGAGCGAGACAGTTTGTCCCCGTACCACTGGTTGAAAACCACTGCTGTAGATCGCTGCCGGTACGTGCGCTGGGAGCGCACCGTTTAAGTTTGAAAGTTGAAAAGTTTGTGTGTCTGAAACGCTATGTGATACAGTACAGTTTACACAGCACAGTACATGTTCTGTAGCTACTATTGCACTAAATGCTAACACTTGAATACGTTATGCAAATATGCAACTTGTTTGTTGAAATGTTAATAAATGGGAGCTTCCTCAAACAGCCATCTCTTTCCCGACAATCCCCTCTGTGCACGAACCCTTACATATGGTAATTAAACATTAAAACACCTGCGGCTTATAGTCCAGTGCGGCTTATATATGTACACATCATTCAATTTATCTGCTGCGGCTTATATTCAGGTGCGCCTTATAGTCCGAAAATTACGGTAGTTGTGATCATGGCAAAAAAGATGGCCAAGAATAGTTATTGTGTGACTGTTTCTGCCTGTTTGCACTTCACATTTTTAAGGCATTTTCAAAAAGAATGGTAACCTGACGTTATTTATTGGTGTATTGTGTGACTTGCACTCTTATCTCCCCCAGATTCAGTTGTATTGAAGCAGTTATGTTAACTGTCTTCTTCCATTAATTCCCCGTCATTGCTTCCTTACACACACATTCATACACATCATCTGCCCCCGTTCTCTCACATCCTTGCTCAGGCTCAATCTGTTTGGCACAGTGTGCTAAAGCAGGCTTTAAAATATGCCCCCCTCCTGTGCAAATTTGTTCCACCTTGAAGTGGATTTCATTATTTCATTTGAGCCTCTGCCTGACAGGGAAGTGAATCATTTTGACAGGCCCCGTCTGAAGCCTCTTCAGCCCAAGCCCTTGATTCTGAGTATTTTTGGAGCAGGGGGGAGGAGTAAGTCATTGTCGTCGCGTTGCAGCTGTGATGTAAACCGGGGGCTTGCCGAGTGCTTGGCCCCCATTGGCTGACGTCCAAGGCTGTGGAGGAAGCATGTTTAGTGTAGCGACGAACGGAGAGGTGGAATCTTATCAGCGTTGCTCCACTCGGTTCAGATTACCCTGCGCTTGGTGTCCAGTGACTGCATCAGCCCGTCTACACATTAACACACCTTACCTTCATTTAAAGTAATGCCAGATAGCCTTAACAGATAGCCTTTGTGTGTATTGTGTAGTCCCCCCACTAAACCCATATTTGTATTCAAGTGTGATATATTCGTGTCTATTGGTAAACATTTGTTTTAGTCATGAGAAATCATGCGGAAATAGTGTTTTTATGCGAATCGGATGAAATATGAGCAGCAGCCTTTTTCAACACACAACTCTCTATCTTGGACTGAGGGGGAGCTGTATACGCATATTCAGTATCTCCCCTTCAAGACCCTTATTCATGCTGCATAAATAGAGCAACCAGCACAGGTTTACATGATGTGATGTCCTTGTGATGTCCTCAAGCTTTCCATATAAAACTACTTCCATGGACATTATCAGTGCAGCGGTGGAGGAGCCTTACTTAGACGGAGGGTTCAATCAAAGTGTTTCCTCACATTTCCCGAATGTTTATGGAAGCTGCTGCATTGCATTTGTCTGGTGTCTGCTTCTCGATTCAAAGCCGTCCCCGCTCTCCTCGCTTTCCCTCTGTTTCATTTCCACAGCCTGATTGAAGTCTCCTAACAACCAAAGTGTTTTCTTATGGAGTGTTCCGCCAACTATTCTTCAATAACACTCTACTTTGAACTTTGATTTTCTCTTAAAATGGGGATTTTTTTTTTCTCAAACGGATGCGGAAAAACTCATCAGCTGAGGGAGCAGGGCCACCATCATAAAAAGATATGGCCTGGAGGGAACACACTTTAAGGTCAGCTTGGGCGGGAGTGTGTGTTCCTCTTGCTTTATTGAAGTGTGCGAGCTGTTTACAGTGCAGGTGGGGAATTTGTGCTCTCATGTCTCTCTGTGTTGTGTGGGTGTGTGTACTAGGGGGTGAGAGTCAGATTGAGGTTGATTATTGAATGTGTGTAGTCTCTCCATTCTTGTGCTCATTATCTTTGTATGGGTTGCTGTAGTGTGCTGCTGCCACTGTCATTAGTGGGCTCCTGAGGCGCAGCAGTAGTTCCGCTCCAGATTAGTTTTCTGGTGTGTGCCAGCTCTCTGTCTGGCAGATAGCCTGGCACGGCACTGCCCAACTCGGCTCAACACAGCTTGGCCCGACCCAGATGGTGAAAGCTCTGTGCCACAACAACAACTTTGATTTGTCTGGCCTCTTCTCCCTCTCTGTTTTCAACTTCTCTCGGTTCTGCCTTCTTCTCCGGTCCAATATGTAATTGATTGGAGAAACAAGGCTTTAATTCAGATCGTCAATCTAAATCCAGCATCTATCTTTTTAGCTTTAAAGTGGCATAGTGGAACGCTTTCCTTAGCAAAATGGCTGTTGTGTACAGAATTCCTTCTCAGTAGATCCACTGTGAGAAGACGTGTAGGCATGACATAGTTTAGTTACATTTTAGTAATTTCAAAGAGTTTACCCAATAAGATATTCAAAAGCAAAGGGTGCTTAGATTATATTGTCCCTGTCCAGCATTTTCCTTTGCCCTAAAACTTCTATCTTTTTAATTAAAAAAAGTTTTGTGAAAATATTTATTTTGCACAGTCTGCTTTTTTCTCAGCCAAATCCAGGGGTATGTTTTAATATTTAATACTAAAAGTTGTGTTGTGTTGTGATGTGTTCAGTGTACTTGCTGTTGGTTCCTTAACTGTGGTCCTCCAGGCCTGCAGCAGCAGTACAGAGAGTGCCAGGAGCTGCTGGGGCTCTACCAACAATACCTGTCTCAGCAACAGGCCAAACTGAACCAGTCCATCGCCCAGCTCAGCCAGGAGCCAGCGCATAGCAAGGTGAGGTACGGGGCAGAGGAGGGGGGTGTGGAAAGCCCTATAATAAGGGTTTTAGTAGTGCAACATGCAATATAATGTGATGGGCCAGCTCCTGAGTGAGCCATTTTGATAAAACTCACGTTCCCCATACGGTAGGCATTCCAACATTTACAAAAAGAAACATCCAGTGGAAAAGTAAAAAGCTAACATTAGGCTATGGTTGCATGGCTTCACGTCACCACTGATATGCTGAAGGCTAACTGGTGTTCAGTCTTAGACAGTCACTTGTTAGCAACAGCCTTTTTTATCGAACAAAGGAGATTCAGACATTCACCAGTTGAGTATTTACTGACATATTTCATGTCGTAGAACAAAACATACAAATCTATTCATCCTGTATTAACCACAGATCTTATTTCAGACATCTAACAACAAACACATTTAAAAACAGTTGACTTAGGGACAAGGGAAACGGAAATGGTAAAATGCAAACTCATTCCCATGTTTTGGGACTCATTCATGCACCTCTCTTTAATGCATATGAAAGCACCGCCGAAGTCCACTACAGTGGTCTGGTATCACTACAACACAGTGAAAAGTCTCAAGGTGACACTTCAGAATGAAGACGCCTCTCTGGCTTCGGCCCCTGTAAGAATAGATGACTTGGCCCCACTCATTGTCCCGAGGTGGGCTCTGAATAATGTGTGTTTGCCTGCTCTCTGACCCTCAGCAAATTAGTCACACTCTCTTCCTCAGTCCACTGTAAGATGGGCTATCCTCCTTATGTTTATCTCATAATGTTGCTGACCTTGGCTTACCTGCCAGTAATGCTCAGTTGGAAATGGTCCTCTTAATCTTGTGGCCACTGTCCAGTTTACAGTTTTGAAAGGTGATTTGCATTTTTGCAGCTATAAACCAAGCCCTAGCCTTACACCACGTCTATAAAGTAGTGAAAGCAGCACATTCTCAGGGAAGCATAATAAATCTCAGAGAAGCCTAATAACACAATCACTGTATTGTAAAATGGAAGAAAGTAGAATTTTAAGACAAAAAAATGCTTCAGGTCACAAAAAAATGACATAAAGTCAAATTGATATGCAAGGTCTCATGGAACATTTCTCCCAAACACATGGGGGAAGCTTTTACTGCACGTTGAAACACGAGTTAATTAGGTGGGTTAGTGACTCCTTATTCAGTATTGTTGAATTTTGGTGTGTAGCCCAGGTCTACATTAGGATTTTATGAAGCAGCAACGTTTTTGGCGGTTATACTCCCATAAATATTTCAGAGGCTTCCTAAATTGGCCAAAATGCATTCATTGTCCTCTTTGTTCTCTGTCCAGGTGCTGAGCAGTGAGGAAGCCGCCAAGAGAACATCTACCAGCAGAGCTAATGGCTCCTTCTTTGATGGCTCATACCTCAGCCTCCCTGCTACTCGAGTGCACAGGGGTGGTGGGAGTGGTGGAGGAAGAACAGCAACACACTCTCAGAGCAACAATGCAGACTCTGTTTCCTGTGCAGGTGAGTTCAGTCCCACTGACGGGCCCATCCAACAGCTCAGGACTCAGAAGAGCAGGGAGTCCGAGGGCCAGCACAGATGTGGGCCCTGCCGAGGTCAAGACAGTGGCGCTCGCTTAGAGAATGGCCACCATGACACTTCTAACCAGCATGAGTGCGAAAGGTACAGTTTATATCGTTTTTCATACCATATTATACAGGATTCCTACGGTCATTCAAAACCTGGAAAAGTCATGGAAATTCAAAATGCTAATTCCAGGCCCTGGAAAAGTCATGGAAAACAATATTTTTCCCAAAGTTTTGGAAAAGTCCGGGAAATGTAACTAAAGTTGCATCAAATATAATTTACATTTTATCTAATCGTCAAAATAGTAATGCTATAATGATAATAAATACTGTATCGTATAGTAATGAAACGTAAAATGGCATTTATATTATTTATAATATTGTATTTTGCTGGTGAGAGATTTTAGTTGATTTAGCGTGTAGAAGCTAGTAAGCCAACTATTTGATTTGTTTTAGATAGATAGGCACAACATGTTTCATATGCAGTCCTTATTTTCCTGTTCCATGTTAAAATAAACCATTTTCAGTGGTACCGCTCAGAGAGTAATTTTTTTGGTCATTGAAAATCATTAGTGAAAAAGTGTATGAACCCTGGTGATGATAAAGCATTAAGAAGCCTTGCTCATCATGATTCCTGTTTTTAATTCAGGCCAGGAAATCAATTCCCATCGACCGCCTGGAGCACCTCAGGTCTCAGCTCAGCTCCAGCACACACCCCGAGCTGTGTGTCCAGCTGGAGGAAGTCATCTCCAAACTGGAGCCTCTGGACTCGGCCTCCAGCAGCCGCAGGAGCAGCATCTCCTCACACGTGAGTTACATTTACTCCCTGCAGATGATTAACTGCAATCTTGAAATTTAAAGCTAAGCATCCAACTTTCTAAACGACACACTTTTGGTTAGAACCAGCTTTCAGTCTTTGCATCCAGAATAATTCCACATCAAACTAACATCATGCTTTGTATACTTTCCTTCAATACATGGATTTTCTATTAGCTCATTATGACTCAAGCATGCAGCCTCTGCTTATTTGTCCGTAATCAATGGGTTTGCTGATATCATCATTATCCAGGAGAGCTTCAACGTCCTGGACTGTGGGATCTATCGTGTGATCAGCCGCAGAGGAAGCCAGTCGGAGGAGGAAACGAGCTCCATCATCAACCAGTCAGCGTCCGAGGAGGAGCGCCTCAAAGAGTTCAGTTTTGTGCAGGAGGAGGATCAGGTGGATCAAGGTAAGAGAACGGCGGCTGCCTGTTAAACATACAGTGTGCTCGCTATAGAAAGGCCTTATTTCAATTCAGAGTGGTTTTCGATACTGCCACCTTAAGAGCGGACACATTTTCTGAATGAACAGGTCGTTTTCAAATGTTATTATAACTGATTATAAATACTAGTTATAATAATTGTATTATTATAATTACCAGTATGAGTTTTTTGGACATGCTAACAAACTCTTGTAACAAGGAAAATCATGGAAACCAGTTTTCGACTATCTTCTTCCTAAAAACACTTTCTTGTTTACCTCTACTTTTTCTTTAATCTGCACAGGAACAAACTTCTTTTCTGCCTCTTCTTACTTTCGTTAGAAAAAGAGTGAAGTTAGTTTCAGATTCATATCTACTACTCTATTAAAACACCTCAATATAAAGCCAAATTAGATATTTGTAATGTTGAGCATCTGTTGCTGCTAAAACATGTATTATTAAAAACATTTGAAATGAATTTTACTCTTTGACTTTATCTCTATTGCCATAATAATAAATCTATAATAATTCAAAAACGGTCTTGTATGTTTGCCACTAAGATGACACTGCTTTTCATTTTTTGAAACACACAATAATTGAATCAAAGTGTTGCTGTTTCTGAACCTGCTGAGAGCTAAACGATCACTCTGCCGGCTGATGTGCTTTGCCAGTAAAACCTTTACTTTGGCACGCTGTTAATAACATCACGTTTCCTGTCTGTTCCATTGCATCACACATAAATCACCATTTTGTTTTTTTTTACATTGTGCAGCATTTAATTTACGTTTGCTCTTGAGTGGTGTCTGGCTCCTCTGCTCCATCTGCTTGCGTCATGTCCTCTGCCTTCCATCGTTCCCCTGCAGTATCCATCCATCTGTGTTTGTCCTCTGGCTCTTGCCCACATCTTCCTTCAGATCCTCAGAGCGCTGAGCGAGTGGAGGCCGAGCGATCCGATTCAGGCCTCCAGTTCCACCTCCCCCTCTCATTTCGCCCCAAACCCCCCCGCATCGCACTGCAGGCCGTCAAAGACAGGTAACATGCAGAGACGTAAAGGACAGACATACTCACAGACTACCTTTCAGATCATATGCGTTGATACTTTGTATTACTTTCTCATTATCATATGTACTTTAACATCATGCGCAAAAAGGTCCAGAGTGCTTGGAAGTTCAAACACGTGTAATAATTAGGGCTGTCAAACGATTAACATTTTTAATCAGATTAATCACAGCTTAAAAATTAATTAATCATGATTAATCACCATTCGAACTTTTTCCAAAATATGCCATTTATTTATGTATATTGTTGTGGGAATGGAAAGATAAATGAAAGAAGGCGGATATATATCCATTTAACATACATTATGTATGTATGTTTATTATGACATTGTTCTGTGTGTCAAAATGAAAGACAGCCCACACACCTATCAATCATCAAACCGTGGGGTCTTATTATATTATATCGATGTATAGAGATGTACTACAGCAAAAGTATTCTCCGTCGGGACTTCCTGCAACAACACCACGCCGTTATCTTGATTCTGATTGGCCAGAAGACATTATCAAAGATGTTCTATTGAGAAGACGATCACTACGTGACAAAAGTTTTCAAAACCGTTTCTAGTCTTCGGTATTTCCAGACAAGTGACTACTGAAATCAATCTTACCAACTGTTGTCTGTGCAATTTACTGGGCGGACCTTATTTTGCTTAATTTAACATCATTTTTCATGGTGGGGCTAAGGTGGGGCTAAGCCATTTCTTGGTATGGCTGTAGCCTACCCCAGCGCTGCCACTGGTGGGATGTATGGTGCGGGCCATTCTGCGCATGCGTTAAATGCGTTAAATATTTTAACGCAATTAATTCAAAAAATTAATTACCGCCGTTAACGCGATAATTTTGACAGCATTAGTAATAATTAATCAGATTGCTTTTTAATGGTGACATAAAAACATAGACAAGTGTGCATTTTAAGATAAAGCTGGTTACAGTCTTCTTCACGGTTTTATTATTTTATGTTGCTTATTTAACTAAATGTATCTCCTTTTGAGTGTTATTCTTTTAGGTATTAATGTTTCTTATGCACTTTTTCATTTGTATTACTCAATAGTTTAATGAGGTTTTCTTAAATGTTCTTGTGTCACAGCAGCAATACAGACATGGAGCTGCAACACATTAGATATCTTAGATTTGTATTCAACACTAAATGATAAAATGTCTTTTTCGTAATGAGGATTGAAACGCCTACAATCACTATAATTGTAAGTGCAGCTGTGCTTGTAGGCGTATCACTTCCCCTTTCCATTGAACACTCACATCTACCGGTAGTTATTTTTAAATGAACATTGTTTATCTGTGGAGAAGCGTGTGGCAGGTTTCATTTCCAAGCACCACACCCATTGTTCATGTGAAAACGT